ATTTTTGTCATTTTTGGTAAAAAGTGATATTTTCAACTTCTTGTTAAAAACTGCAAGTTCGATTGCTTTGATATTACATATATAGGTACTACATGTGGACCTCTCTCAGATTTGTTCATTTTGTGATGATACCTTCAATTCTCTAATTTTGGTGAATATTTTTGTAATTTTTGGTAAAAAGTGATATTTTCGACTTCTTGTTAAAAACCAATAGTTCAATTGCTTTGATATTACATATATAGATACTACATGTAGACCTTTCTCAGATTTGTTCATTTTGTGATGATATCTTCAGTTCTCTAATTTTGGTGAATATTTTTGTCATTTTTGGTAAAAAGTGATATTTTCGACTTCTTGTTGAAAACTGTAAGTCTGATTGCTTTGATATTACATATATAGGTACTACATGTGGACCTCTCTCAGATTTGTTCATTTTGTGATGATATCTTCAATTCTCTAATTTTGGTGAATATTTTTGTAATTTTTGGTAAAAAGTGATATTTTCGACTTCTTGTTAAAAACCAATAGTTCAATTGCTTTGATATTACATATATAGATACTACATGTAGACCTTTCTCAGATTTGTTCATTTTGTGATGATATCTTCAGTTCTCTAATTTTGGTGAATATTTTTGTCATTTTTGGTAAAAAGTGATATTTTCGACTTCTTGTTGAAAACTGTAAGTCTGATTGCTTTGATATTACATATATAGGTACTACATGTGGACCTCTCTCAGATTTGTTCATTTTGATATGATATCTTCAATTCTCTAATTAATTTATTTTGGTGAATATTTTTGTAATTTTTGGTAAAAAGTGATATTTTCGACTTCTTGTTAAAAACTGTAAGTCCGATTGCTTTGATACTATTCATATTGTTCATTTTCTAATGATGTCTTCAGTTTTTTAATTGAAATGTGCATTGCTAACAGCGAAGCTATCTCAGCCGATAGGCTGCTTGTTGAATAAAAAAATTAGTTGTTTTCAAAAGATAAACTGAGCATTTGAAGAATAATTTAACATTGTTTACAGCTAATTGTCGAAATGAAGCTTATCAATTCATGCTTGTCACAATAAACAACATACTCTTGAATAGGCGTCAATGACTACGGTAAAACTTAAATTATATTCTCTTTTAGGCATCAGGAAAGATTAAAAAAATGCCGAAAATTGCCCTGGACGATTTCTTGGTCCCATTTTATTTTTTTTTAAACCCAAGCTGCCGTTTTATGGACCAGGGCGAATTTAAAATTGCATAATGTACACTCTTTTCATGAGGCGCCCTTGCAAGTTATGACCTCAATGTCATCAAGGCTAGTTAACCAGAGATAATTTGATGTCTATTGTTCAACATGTTGTGTGTTGCTAATGAGACAAGACATTATTTCCATGATATCGTAATATTATTTATATCACAATCAGTTGCCGATTATGACTGTATACTTGATTGATTGAATTTTATAAAACTCCAAACTGATTGGTGCAAAAAATCCACACAATTCTATGTTAAAATTTATTTTATAAGCAAATCTAACCTAACATTATAGCATGGAAATACAGTGCCACTGATATTACCGTATACAAAGTTTTGCTTAGAAAACTGTAAAATCATACCTGGAGATAAAGTTTCCTCTCACTAGCAACGAACAACTTAGACACACATGCTCAACCATAGACACACCTCTGTCATGTATGTTAGCATATGCGCTACTAATACACATACCCTCTGCAACATGTCATGCCAAATAAAAATTGCTGCCGTGATTTAGGTTGGTGGCTGTTCAATGTCTTGCTGGTTGGTTGTCAGCTTTGAGACTTAGTTTTATAAAATTTATTACGCGAGTTAAAAGAGATGATCATTGCGGTATGTCATGTTCGATAACAGCGTACAAACGTGCGTAAAATGCGTAACAGATAACCATCGCCTTTTAATGTTTCTGAATTTCATATTTAATAATGTGTAACCATTTTTTTTTTGCTACGTTAAACTTGCCTATTCAAATGTACTTGGCAATGTCTGCTTGGTAGAACCCTGATATCATTTTTTTGTCTTTGATGTACTGAATATGATGTATAAACCAAACCTAAAGGCACAGAAAACAAAATAACAGTATCTCAACATGTCAAGGTATTGATAGTTTCACTATGTTTTTTCTGTTCCAGGACTCCTTTGGTGATATGGCTATGTTTTTCCATGATGTATATGGTGGTGACTTCATTGCTGTTGCCTGGAAGTCATCAGCTTTCGAACCCAAACCATTCAAGGTGTGTTTTCATTTAATTTCATCACATTGAGACAAATTTGTCAGAAGAAGCCAACAAAAAGTGACACAAATATGCAGTTTCAATTTTGATGCAGAACTCATCAAAACACATCATAAATTATTTGGTGAAAAACACAAAAAGTGTAACTGATTATTACGTGCCGGATCATTAAAATATTTCCGGCAAAAACACTTTGCATTTTTTAGTGTACTTCACTATTATGATTATTAATTTTAGACAAAATGAACATAAATTTCTGTTGATTCAGGAATTCATCAAAATATTAGAAAAATTATGGAAAAATTTTCATGCAGATTCATTTTGTGAAAAGTTGACTTTGGTGTTTCAAGGGTAAAAAGTCGAAATGTTAATAAAACTAGTTACTAATTCTTTTTAATTCTTAACATATTAATTTTTGTTTTGTTTAAATCCAGGTAACAAATGTGCAATGCAGAGTACCGAAAACAGGACAACAAGAAACAAAACTCAAGGTTGATGTTAATGCAGTTCTTGAGGACTTTCAAGTTCTAGGACAAGGGATTGTAAAAACTGTGGAAGTGGTGACAGAGAAATGGAACATTGAATAAATACAATTGGTTCAATGTGGTGATGTAGTATTACAAATACTAATTCCATGCTGTCTGTAGTAATTCCCATTCAAAAGGACATTATTCTCCCAAATGTTTTAGTTTAACAATTTCACCCTCTCTAGATTGTAGAAAAATTATGCGAGACTAAAATGACTGTCATTGTCTGTCATCATTGTAAACATATTGCTTGTGATTGCAATAAAACAACTTACAAAATATAAAGTGGAAGTATGTCAATGTGTTAAAATGTTATTCACAGTTTTGGCCATATATATCTAGGAATCCTTAGCCTGTTCAGTGCAGCTTAATAATGCTAGATGGAATCTTAGAAGGCTCTTCCACCTGACGCAGTAGTGGAATGTGTTTATTGTACCAGTGGCTAGCTCTGGATGATAAATTAAGTTAAGTAAGCTCTACTCTCTGACACAGCAATGGTCGTTGGTGTGTGTGTGTGTGCAGTGAACGAATGCCTGTGAAGACGTTCAGGTTATCCTGCCATATACAACAATGGTCTATGGTTGTGATTTTGTTCAGTGCACCAATTCGCAAGATTGGATTGTTAAACGACTCTCCTATAAGACAGCAACAGTTGCTGGTGAATCTGTACAGTTTACTTATGACCTGGATAAAGCAATGGTCATTGATGATATTACTCAGTCCACCAGTTTACTACATCACCTACCAGAAAATCCGAGTAAATAATAAATTACAGATTACACCCCCAAATGGATCTACTAAAGATTATACCTGGGTCCAAAAGAAACACCCTAGGGTAGCATTCTCTAAGAAAAAGGCCTCTTTTTGTTCCACTGGCCAAAAGTTGAGTTATTTTCCAGCTACGATATTTTCGGACAAAAAGACTGGGCCTCTCTAGAAATCTAGTGGTGATCAACTCCGACAATCAACATTATTACAGTGAAGGCTTTCCATTATTATGGACCCCATTTTTACCTGTTTTTGTTGAATCGACAGCTCAATTTATATTCGCCTTGATTTCTATTTTTGGCGTGGTGAATTTTCTCGCTTTTCACAATCACTTTTCATGTCTTTTCTTCGATTGCATTATGCTTTAATCATTGAGACTAAGATCCTGCCGACTAAATTCGGCACATTAGATACATTCATCTTGCCACTTAGAGCTGCAAATTTGGGACCCAAACATATGTGTTGTCATTTTTGTTATAGTCGCAAACAGGACTCGGAGTACATTGGAGTCAAAACCAGAGCTACCGTTAAAATCCTATTATAAACCGCATACCTAATAGTAACCGCACCCCCGATTTCGGTTTCAGTGTTAAAGAGTTCTCAACAAAAATTGAAAACATGAAAAGTACCTATTACTAACCGCACCCCCAATTCAACAAGACCGTGACCGACTTTGTTTCAACGAGTTGGTACATTGTTCCTAATCCTATTCATTTGTTTCGACAATGTGCCTAAAATAAGCACATCTCTTTATTGTTCAGTAGTGTTTAGGATGTCAAACACGCAGTGGAACTGCTTTTGTCTTGTGACAACTTGTGTCAATACTCCTTGTGAATACGTCCGTGTCGCAAGTTTTCGACAATGAGCTGTTCTCACAGAAAAACTGTTAAATTCTTTTTCAATGCTCAGTTTATCTTTCGGAAACAACTAATTTCTTGATTTAAAAAAAAAAGTCACGTCGTTTTTCCATGGAAATCCAAGCCAAAAGATCGCACTACATTATCGGTAAATCGCTTCCAGGTTTCGTTCACCATGAAGTCGGTGACCTGTCATTAACATATTTAAATGAACTAAGGTAATTTGAACACGTGGGCACCATCCAGCATTTTGATTGGTTAATTAGGGACTTGACCTACCCGGTCAAGTAATGTCTCGTGTGCATTCAAACTACATGGCGGATGTCGCATCGATCGTTTACATGTGACCGAAATAATTCGCTTACGGTGAAACTAAGTTGAATTTTGCATTTGATAACAATTCAACGAATTTAATTTTCGTGTTTTGTTATAATCACTACTGAGTAATAATCAATAATTTTAACAGTTCGAAAACAAGTAAGTTATTCACTTGTGAGCCGAAGTATGGCCGGATTGCGTTACCGTAGCCACGGTACCGTACTATTTTAGTGCCGTACCATGATCATTTTCTACTATAAAGCAATGCATTAATGTTTGTTTTTATTTGAAACTCCTGTCAGAATACACTTTCCGTTACGAAGAAAATAAAAAAAAATGCATATTACATTAAATATACGGAGTATTATTTTTTTTTCATGTGAACAGTTTTTTTGTGACGTGAGGCTTATCACTCTTCCCGGACATCTAAATTGGAGTTACGCTTATATTCAAAAGATTGTACGGTGTATTGTTTGTTTTGTGCGAGTGATGTGGGAAAAAAATGACCACGCCCATTTAGTGATTGCAATATGTCCCTAATATAAACCGCACCCCGAACTTGAGCTGTTGATCCCAATTTTTTATTTGATACATTGTAATATAAACCGCGGTTTATAATAGGATTTTAACGGTACTCCCTCCAAAAATCTGGTAGCTTGGAGTATTTGCATAATGTTTTCAAAATAGAATACATAACTGTGATTGGCTCAATTAAAAGTGGAAGATTCCACTATCATAGCCCCAAGTAATTAGTCTTAGTTACGAGGTCAAAGGTTATAGAAAGAGGCGGCAAGACCAATACTTAACATTGCATCTCTGTAAGGGGGCAGCCTAAGCATCCTCTGTCATTTTTTTCCCTGCCCCTCAGGCACGGTCAGAGCAGGCTTTGTTACCTTTGCTTTACCAGGCCGCGCAGAGTGCTCCTACTTGTTACTCTGGGAGGCGGTGCTCCAGTGTTGGTGTGGAGGGGGTGATTGGTACCCTTTGAGAGACGAGGACGAGAAGACTGATCCTGGATTGCCTCCCAATGGGTTCCTGATTTCGGTTACTCGTGCGGTGCCACAGCCTTCTTCATGGGCTCCCCTCCCTGATCCCGGTACTTTGTTAAGGCGGGTTACGCGCGATCGGGAAGGCCATGTTGCATGGTCATTTGACTGGCACCAGAGTCTGTAAGTGCATCTGGCAATGCGGGCAGAACATAAACTCATCATCTTTGTAGAATGGATCTCCTTGGTTAGAGCGTCTCTGACCACCTGAGTGCTAAGCAACAAACCACAATCCTTGAGCAGTTGGACCAGTTTTGGGCTGCGCAGAGTCGCTATGTGTGACATCCTGCAAGTCCATACTGCCCTCTTGGCAAGGAGCGGTTTCGGTTGAGCAAGGCACAGTACTGAGTCAGTGCGCCTACCCTACTCTAGCAGGAGATGACTTTGATCACCTGTGAAGAGGGCTTGGGTGCGTGGCTGGGTCATTGGTGGCCGGCTAAAGTGCTTGTGGTCTCCTTCTAAGGGGCAGAAGAAGACCAGTAGCGGGAAGTGTCAAAAGAGGTCCAAGAACGTGGCTCTGGTGGTGGATGTTCTGGCACTTCCGGGAGCCACCGGCAGCCTGGACATGGATGGTGGTACGACTTAAGGTTCCCCATTTCTGGAGGCCTCGAGCTTAGCTCCCTCGTCTTCATCCTCCTCCGTTAGAGGCTGGAGTTTGGACAACTCCTGATTGCTCCTCCCTGTCGGAACGCGTCTCAGCAGCACACACCAGCTTGGCACAGGAGAGTTTCTGACCCCTGGACACTCGCAGTAGAGTCTCAGAGGTATCAAAGCCCTCTCCAGTCTCCTCCTCCTCTGACGCCTCACCCCCCTCTGGTTTTCTACCGAGGGACAAGGTCAAGGCAGAGACGACCCAGCAGGAAGTAGCCAGCCTTCTGGAGAGAAGGGTGGTACGCCTAGTGGAGAACCCCATTTAAAGGGTTCTATTCCCACATCTTCCTCGTTCCCCAGAGTTTGGGGGGTGGCATCCTAGTCCGCAGGTGGCTGATCGTGTTTGAATCACTCAATCATTTTCTGTATGTCTTCACCAAGGTGTGTTTAGACAGGTGACCCAGCTGCTCCACCAGTCGTCGGTTTATCTTAACCCATACCTCGGCAACTGGTTAAGGCACAAACAAGACAGGGAGGTATTAGAGGAGCACATGCAATTAACGCAACCGCTTTTCCACGAGTTGGGCTTTTTTAATAATATTATCAAGTCCAACCCCATACCATCCCACAACCTATTTTTTTCTGGATATGCAGTTCGAAACGGAACAAAGACTTGTCACCCCTCTAAGCCTCGGTACAACTCAGTTGTGGAGGTCAACTCATCGACCAACTCCGGTCGACAGATCGGCTTCTATGCGCGAACTGATGCCTCTTATTGGCAGTATGACTTCAGTTCCTTGTCAGGTTGCACACCACCACAGAATCTTGCTTCGAACAGACAAAACCTCAATAGTGTTGTATAGTTAGAGAGGGGACGTGTTTCCCCATGTTTTTGGAGCAAGCGGAGGAGATTCTCCTTTGGTGCCTGGAACTGAGTGGAGCTATGGCTATGGCGGACATCCTCTTGAGACGTATATTCGGTTTTAGAATGCTGAGTGGAAGATCACCCAGTGAGTGGCGGATTGCCTTTCTTCATCGCTGGGACGGACCTGGATAGATCTGCTTGCCAATCATCGGAATTCCGACGTGTGTGCTGCCGCTCCCGGAGACAAGCGCATTTGCCACAGGTATTCTTGGATGTCTGGAATGCTTACGCATTTCCACCCTTCCAACTAGGTACCAAGTGTTGGAGAAACTGCGACTCGAGTCCACCTGCTTTCTGACACTGGTGGTGCTCAATTGGCCAGGAAGGTCTGGTCCTATGTTGCTGGACCTTCTAGTCGAGTCCCCATGGGAGTTGCCGGATCTGTTGTCCCAGCCAGACGGCCCACGTTTCATATTCATGCGTGGAGGCTGTCGACAAATACATGCAAGCGTAAGGCTTTTTGGCAGAGTTTTCCAAGTTCCTCGCTTTCGGCACAATCGGACAGCACTAGATTTTTGTATGAGCCCGGCCAGTTGGAGACTCTACATCGATTGGTGTAACGGAAAAGAGATTGATCATCTTCTTGATGATATCGGTCGGTTTTGTTTCCAGTTTTGTCTGGTGGACTGAAATTGGCCTCGAGTTCAATTATGCACAACTGTCTTTCCGCTCGAAGAGGCCGTACGCCACAAGGCTAACAAATCCTCCAGACTGGGACTTGTTGGTTCAAGTAGCGTTACGACACGCCCCTTTCGTGCCTATGGATCGGTGGAGATGTCT